TACACTTGTTGTTATATTCCATGGAATGCTCTTAACATCCCGATAGCAATGAATATCTGAAGTGCTTTGACAAAACATCCATTAAAAAATGTCATCTGTGGAAGCCGTGGCGCTGTAAGAAGCTCGACCAATCATCTGAGCCGGCTAAAGTAACTGGATGGCCTACCTGCCTGTCAGCCCTCCATCTGGGCACACACTTACCTCGTGCCCTCATTGGTCATGTGCGCGTTCGTGTGTGTTGGAGGAGGGGCTCTGTGAGGAAGTGGCAGATTTGTTCCGGTTGTGTATTTTCAAATTCTAGCGCACTCGAGCTGCTTTCTCCAAAATTACCTACCCCACCTTTAACTCCTTGTGTTTTTTATTTCTATTATTTATTTCATTTTATTTGGATTTTTTTTATAGCTTGTTAAAATGACCTCTGAGTTATAAAAAGAGATGCAAAGAGACTAAAAACAATCCAAGTTAACACGAAATGACCTTAAATAAACACAACACCCTGATGGCCACAAAGAAAGTCTGAACATCATAAAGTGAGTGTTCTTAAGAGAGGTGTTGTTTGGGCCTGCTGCACGTCTGAGCCCTGTGACCTCCAATTCTTATGTAGAGCTTTTTAAAGTGTCTTCCTGCTAGCTACCATTATACATTAAGGACACAGAGCTGTCTGTCTTTAATTTGATGCATCTCTTCAAGACTTTTCCAATGCTGAAATGTGGAGACGTGTTGGCTTGTTTCTGACGGAAATGAAATATAATGAATCATTGTTCACTTGTTTATGGATCTTTTTAGGTTAACCCGAAATGAAGACCATAACGAGGAAGCAGCCTCACGGCCTGTTAGCGTTTCTCAGCTCCTAACGGATTAACAGCCTCGTTTAAAACAAATGGACTATTTCTAGAATAGGACGACCCTCTCCGTGCATTTGGAGAGGAACTACTTTCTGGACTGTTTTGAATGCAGTGAGACTCTTTACTATATGTTCTCTTTGTTTGTCCTGCAGGCTGAACAGTGTGTGGCTAAAGGTTAATGCTGCTTCTCTGCAGGCTTCTTTGAAAGCTGAACCTGATGTGGACACCTTGGTATTATCGGGTAAATAAAAACAGAAACACACCGTCGCCTATTTCTCTCATCCCGCACGTCTTTGTGTTTTGTATTCTGTGCTCCAGGTGTTCTTCGCCCTGCTGCGCGGCGACTTACGGATGGGAACTATATAAATAATATCAGTGTTCGTTCAAAGAAAGGTTTGCCATTGTTGAGCTGGTTATTAGAGAAACAGAAACTGTGTGGTTCTATTAAAGCATCCAGTCGTGCAGAACCAGCGTATAGGAATTTAAAAATGTCACATCACTCTCAGAGAAACACAAACTGTGTGTGTGTGTCTGTGAAAGTGTGTGTTTTGTGTTGTGTTACGTCACTGTCAGTACGTGTACTTTGTACAGTACACACTGTCTCTGTCGATCTGCTGTCACCTGTCAACCTCTCTACAGGCATTTTAACCACTGTGTAAAAGTGTGTGTGTGTGTGTGGTCTAGCATTACTATACTTGTGGGGACCTAAATCTGTTTACATAGTCACGTGTGGGGACTGGCTTCCCTTATGGGGACAAATTGGAGGTCCCCATAAGGGGAATCATTACTTTTAGGGTGAAGACTTGGTTAGGTTTAGGGTAAGGGTAAGGGTGAGGGTTAGGCATGTGTTGGTTATGGTTAAGGTTAGGATAAGAGTCCATGAAATGCATGTAAGTCAATGTAATGTCCCCTGAAGTGATGTATACATGGTATGTGTGTGTGTGTGTGTGTGTGTGTGTGTGTGTGTGTGTGCACGTATATTTTATTATAATCACTCCTGTCTGAGTATCATCGACTCAGTGTCAGTGCAACAAGTGGTATGAATAAAAAAAGGAAGATCAAATTAAAAAAAATAATTTCGAATAATAATAATAAAAATACAATAATAATAATACTTATAATACAAATGTATAATAATAATAATATAATAATAAGTATACACAAATACAAATATATGTGGATAGATTGGACGGCTTTTGGGAAATATATAAGTTTTAATTTATTTATTTTAGTCTCTTTGATTTAATGTTTTATTTTAAGTCTAGCTCAGTAAAAATTATGTTGAATTTAGTTATTTTAATGTATTCATGGTTGAGTTTAGTTGAGCTGAATTGGATGTGTTTTATTATCGACTTGTTCGTTAAATCTGCAAGCAAACATGCAACACAATATTTACAAATGATTACGCATCTGTATGTATTTATATTTTTAATTGTAAAGCACTTTGTGACTTTATTTTGAAAGGTGCTGTAATATTATACTTCTACTCCTCTAGTTCAGAGGTACATGGTGTACTTTCCCTCCACTACATGTATGTAATACCTTTAGTTACTTTACTCTGCTGTGCCTTTTGGCTGTCTTGGACGGGGAGAAGATCTCTAGTCATCCTGAGAAGTCTACTGGATTCATGTCTGTTCTGCCGTCCGCGGTGAGCATCCCCTGCAAAGGATCGGCAGTGCTACACAAACAACTACCGGTTGCCTTGTCGCAGGCAATCAGTTCGACAAAATACGTTTGTCTTTTTTGTTTTCCTGCGATGATGGTTCTTCAGGACTGCTTCTTAAGCTCTAATCACACTCTCGCAGACTTTTCCGGTGATTCTAAAGTAGATGACAATGTATGTGTGTCGTTTAAGAGGAAAAGATGCCTGTTTTTTGTTGTTGCTATTACTGTCAGGAAATGTACAACCTAACCCTGGTCCGCCCAGTAGTAGTAGTCAGATCGCTACTCCTGCTGATTTTAAAGCTAGGTCTGGGTTGGGTTTCATCCACTTGAATGTGCGCAGTCTGTTAGGTAACTAGATGTTGTCCCGTATCTGGGCAAGCTCGACTGACGCTGACGTCATTGTTTTATCAGAAACATGGCTAAACAAGTCTATTTTGGCCTCTGACATTGCCTTAAATGGTTTTAATGTGTATCGTACCGACCGGCCTAATAAAGGTGGTGGCGTTGCCATTTATGTTAAGAATAAGTTCAGTGTAACCACATTAGTTTCCAAATCTATCAGTAAGCAATTCGAATTTTTAGCCTTAAATATAGAAGTGGCAAAGGGTCAACAGGTCATGGTCGTGGGCTGTTACAGACCCCCCTCAGCTATTAAAGACTCCTTGTCTTCACTAGCAAATATTTTATCACAACTAGACTACAAGGAAATAGTGCTACTTGGAGATTGTAACTGGGACTGGTTAACTGCAGTGTCAGAGGATTTTAAAAACCTTTGTATCTCTTTAAATGTTACTCAGATTGTGGACAGTCCTACTCGCCCTAACATTAAGTCCCCAAATAAATCCTCCCTAATTGATCTCATTCTAACTAATGTCCCTATAAATACTCATCTGTGGGAGTATTTGCGAATGATGTGAGCGATCACTGTGCTGTAGCCACAATTAGGGACACTAAGGTCCAAAAGGTTAAATCTCGTATTATCATCAAGAGAGACATAAAACATTTTGTGGAGCAGGGTTTTGTGCATGATCTGTTTGGGTTTGATTGGGGAAAAATCGATCTGTGTGCTGATGTGGAAACCGCATGGTCTTATTTTTATCTTGGTTTTATGGAGATCATTGATAGACATGCACCCCTGCGTACATTTAGAGTGAAGGGACGAGACAATCCTTGGTTTTCTGCTGAGCTGTCTAGTCTCCTTCATGAGAGAAACAAGGCTGGGCAAAGGCTAGGAGATCAGGCTCAGAGGTAGAGTGGCTGCGTTTTAGGCAGCTAAGGAATAGCTTCACTTAAAATGTCAAAAGTGCAAAGTCGAAGTACTATTTGTCAGTTACCACAGAAAACCTAAATAATCCTAGGAAACTTTGGAAAGCCATAGCATCGAAATCCACCGGTGATATCCGTAATGAGCTACCTCCGTGCCTTACCACAGCATCTGGCTCTATATCGGACAGGGCTACTATGTTAAATTGCTTTAATGAGCATTTTGTGTCCTGCGGTTCTCTGTTTGATTCTGTGACTAACTCTGCTTCTGTGAACACCCCAATCCGTGACTCTGAACAATGTGGTCTGGAAAACCCTTTCAGTTTTACTCCTTTTACTGTCAATGTTGTTCATGAAGCCTTATCTAAGCTAGATCCTAAGAAACCGGCTGGCCCGGACAACGTAGAACCTTTCTTTTTAAAGATAGCTGCAGATGTTATTGCTCTTCCTCTTACTACTCTTTTTAACCTCTCCCTCAGCACAAATGCAATTCCAAAAGTATGGAAGTCAGCGTATGTCCTGCCTTTGCTAAAAGGAGTGGAGGCCACCTTATTAAACAATTATAGACCCATCTCTAAATTGTCAGTTCTGGCGAAGGTGCTCGAACACCTTGTGAGTGAACAGGTAAAGGAGTTTTTATGTAAAAATGATATCCTGTCTAAACATCAGTCATCATTTGAAAGCTCGGATAGATTAATGTTATTAGATATCTGTCATTGTGAATAGGTTGCTAATGTATACCCCTGTAATTATGTTGTATTGATGTCCTTTTTGTTTTCTGTTGTTTTTATGTGTAACCAATGTGCTGCAGGTCTCCCTTGAAAAAGAGATCGTTGATCTCAATGGGATTTTCACCTGGTTAAATAAAGGCTACAAACAAACAGATGTGGATGAATGATGGTAAATATAATCAAGTGTTGAATCAGACTTTAGTTCCACCTGGAGTAAATCCTCCAGCTACCCTGCAGTATACAAAGCCATTCAAACTAGCTGCACCTTCACCAGCTTTGAGAACACTTTCATGATCAATCATTATAAAACATATCATAGATATTATTCTGAAATGGACCAATCTGCACAACGACTACTTTTACTGTCTTTCACTATATTTAGATGAGAATACTTTCCTACTTTCACTTGAGGAACATTTTGAATGCAGGTATTTTACTAACAGAGTATTTATACTGCGGATCGATAACAGACAGTAACTGAGGCTCAGAGTCTTACCTGTCTGCAGGTCCGTATGTGGCTCCGACACACACACTCACACACACCACACACACACACACACACACACACACACACACACGCACACACACTCACACACACACCCACACACACACACACAGACCGATCAGTACCAGCAGAAAGTCCCGGTGCTGGATCCGGTCTGTTGGAAATCAGTCTGTCTGCTTCTCTCAATGAATGTTCCTTATTCACCAGCGGGCCTCCCGTTCTCTCACCGGGAGGGGCGGGGCTTAACGCTGTATGTGTGCGTGCGTGTGTGTGTGTGTGTGTGTGTGTGTGTGTGAGTGCTTCAACACGTCTATGAATGAAACACAGTGGTGATTCATTCAGTTTCAGGGGATGAGTAATAAAATAAAATACTCAAATAAAATAAAAATAAATACAAAAGTATGTTAAATAAAATAAATAAAAATAAAGAAATATATATATAAATATATAAAGAGAGAAAGAAAAGGTAATAACACAATTAAAAAATACATAAAAAGAAAATAAATAAATAGATATTGTTCTTAAATTAAACTTAAAGTGTAAAATATAAGCTTTGAGGTAAAACACATTTTCATTGAATGATACACATTACACACCATTTTCTCTTAATGTATTATGTGTTGCCTTTAGTTTGTCAGTTTAGGGAGTCTTAAAGGGTCTATATCTAGAAGAGGACTTTTTGCTGGTTTCTTTTCATGAAAAACAATCCAAGACCAAAAGAGATGGTTCATTTTTACCCAAAAGTGTCTGTTTTGCATGAAGTTGAAATGCATTCATTGTGTCTAAAGAGATTGACTCAAGTTAGACAAAATATAAATGTTTAAAGTTCTTCATCTTGAATTTGCTGAGACAGAAGTTATATTATTTAAAGTTGTCATGTTGTGGTGTTTAAAGGTGACTGTAATTTGATAAACTCTACTTTGGCGCCCCCAGGTGTTGATACTAAAACATTACAATTGGACCACATTCATCTTTTTATGGGACTGGTCAGCTTTCTGTCCCCAGAGTCAGAACTAAACATGGAGAAGCAGCGTTCAGTTATTATGCTCCAAACATCTGGAACAAACTCCCAGAAACCTGCAGGTCCGCTGCAACTCTGACTACTTTTAAATCCAGCAAGAAGACTTTTCTTTTTGTCGCTGCTTATAATTGAACTATTCATATCTTAGACTGCACTGTAACTTTTATCCATGTATTTTTTCTTTAGATGTTTATTTTATTAGCTTTTTTTTTAATGACTGATTTTAAATGCCATTTTCTGAATGTCTTTCATTTTTTGTAAAGCACTTTGAATTGTCTTGTGTTGAAGGGTGCTGTATAAATAGACTTGGCTTGCCTTCCAGGGGTAATTGGAGTCTTTAAAAAGGTTGTAAGGATGCTCAAGGAGGTTTTCATGGCCTTTGAAGAGGTTGCAGTCCCTTTGAAGGAGGGAGTAGAGGTATTTTCCAAGGACTTTGGTCATGGTTGAGGTAGAACACGTCTTAGCAATACGGACACTAAATGGACTCTAAATAACCCCAATGAACAATAACAATCCACCACACCTTGAACTTTATGTTATATGTCTTTGCCCTGTGCTGTGTGTTGTACTTTTTATTGTCTGTTTATTGTATGTTGAATTGTATGGAACAAGCTGTAATACTCTGCACTAAACACGAATTCCACCAGCCTGGCTGTGTGGTCATTAAAGATTCTAATCTAATCTAAGAAGTTGCCTGGAGTCGTTTTAAAGGTAATTTCAGAAGTTGTAGGAGTCCTTGAGGAGGTTTAAAAGTTCCCTGAGGAGATTGTTGAACTAATTGAGGATGTTGTTGGGGTCCTTGAGGAAGTTCTGGCGGTCCTTAGAGTCATTGGAGAGGTTGTTAGTGTTATTGAGAAGGTTTAAGGAGCATGTAAGTCATTGGAGAGGATTTAACGATACTTTAAGAGGTTTTAGGAGCCTTTAAGAAGGTGTTAGGGTTCTTTGAGGAAATGGTAGGGTTTAAAGTAGTCATAAAGACGTTGTCGGACAACTTGAGGAGTTTGTTAAAGTCCCTGAGGAGGTTTCACAGATCATTGGGGTCATTGAAGGAGCCCTTGAGGAGGTTTGAGGGTTAATTGAAAAGGTTATAAGCAACCTTGAGGAGGA